GGCCTAGGTTGCCTCCGATGGCTGCCACGGGCTGGGTCTGGTCCTTGTAAGTGGCACCTTTATCCCTTGCTCTTGCACTTCAGAGCTCTGTAAGTGCCGCAGGTGCTGCCGGACGAGTCCCAGTGGGTTTGGATGTAACGCTCCTGTCTGAACCTCGCTCTTGTAGAGATCGTAGGAGGTGCCGGCACACCGTATGAGACCGGGATCTTCGACCTGGAGATACTTGTTCCTGAAAGGTGAGTGGGCACCGACACCTGGGGAGCAGCTGGGGCGGCGCTGATTCCCCTTACCTACTGCGAGAGCCTTGCTCCAAGTGCTTCCGTTCGGCCTTCCTCTGTTGGGAGGTGAAAGGGATGTGGACGACCAGGTGAGACCCTTCATTTGGGGGATGTCATCGGCTGATTTCCATCGGGCATTCCCCAGTGTGCGATTAAAGCACCAGGACAAGGGCTCTGCCTCCTCACGGTGCCTCGAAGCCTCCTGGAAAGGAGCTTGTTCACGAGTGGAAACCTTCCTCCCACGTTTGCTTTGTGCCCAGGGAAGTGCTGGTGGGATGCAGTGAAGGCAGAGCCTCACCTCACCTCCTCCAGGTGTCTGGGGGAGTATGTCACCGGCTCAGCAGCCAGGGGAGGGGATGATGGCATTGTTGGGTGCTGGTGTAAGACAGGAGGACAACTTTATGTCTCTTGACACTCGTCCTTAAAGGTACCCGTTTGAGCCCCCCAAGATCCGCTTTCTGACCCCAATCTATCATCCCAACATTGACTCTGCTGGGAGGATTTGCCTGGATGTTCTTAAATTACCACCAAAGGTAAGAGAGCTGCTTGGGCCTGGGGAAGGCAGTGACCTCCTTGTCTTGGTCTTGTAAAACCCGTATTGAATGTCTGTTTGCTGCTGACTTATTTACACAGGAGCACGGGATTAAAGCTATTGAGCAGCATCCCCTTTGTTTGGGGATGAGAACACGACTTTCTTCCTTCCATAGAGGTTTCCAAGGCTTTAGGGATGGGTATCAAAAGGCATTTGGTGGCCCTGTGGGTATGGTTCCCCTGGGCCCATCAAGCAGAGCCATGTAGGACGTGGCATCATCAGGCTTCCTCAGAGAGCCTTCACTGCCTGGGTGTTGAGAGCAGGTCTGGGCTTTGGTGGGGGCGTGTTCTGAGCAGCCTGTGAGCAGACAAGGTCTGAATGTTGTCAGGCCTGAGGTTTCTCTAGAGCATGTTCCATAGAACAACGAACTGCTTTGGGTTGAAGGGACCTTAAAGCTCCTCCAGCACCAACCCCTGCCCCAGGCAGGGACACCTTCCACTAGAGCGGGTTGCTCCAAGCCCCTGTGTCCAACCTGGCCTTGAACACTGCCA